GGGGCTTTAGCTTCTCGGTGCTGTGCTTTATTTAACCCGCTGCGCCACCAGGGAGGGCCCTAGACTCAATATTGTTTTTCTGTTGTCACCAAAAACAAGTAAAACTTTCCACTCTTCATCGTCTGACACCCAGCACCGTTACCAGCGCAGGGCCTCGGCTCTCCGGGTGCGATCTTTCTAACGAAAACAGGCAGGTGTGGGGCTGCCAGACAGTCCGCAGAAATCTGCCTGAACAAAGCACTCCCTTCTCTCTTTACCATCATGCAAACTGCCGTCTCCCAGGTTTTCCTGGGGTCACCTCACTGGAGGTATGCACCCCGTCACTGATCCCCAGTATTTTCCTTCTAAAAACTTGGCCTTTGCGATCCTTCCCTGCCTGCGCTGACCTTGGTCTTCACCTAGTAACTTTTAACTAACCCCAGGCAGACGTCAACGCTCGCCTCTCCAGCGCCAGCGTGACGGCTCAAGGCCTCTCCATACATCTGCTGACATAGCTTCATATCATTACATCTCTCATAGCTTCCTCCCCTTCACATCCAAAAATGGACTCCTCTCTCCTGACTCACCCCTGTATGATTACTCTGCTAACCACACCTCTGCCTCCATTCCCACACTCTAAACCACGGCACGCATTCTCTGAGAATCTAGTGTTTTCAGCACAAAACAACTTGATATTCAGTTATTTTCTAATTCTCCCCTATGCTATCAACTAGACTCAGACAAATGGGTACTAAATCCTAAGATGTAACTGGTACCTTTTCAGCTCTTTGCAAATGTGCGTGTATATATATGACAGAAGGGATTCACCTTGGGTAGTCAATTTCAACTGTCGTCTCTTCCACAAAAATCACTCCCCACCCCATCAGCCTCTGCGCAACCTCACTGCGCCTGCCTGCGTCTGATCACAGCTCTGTCTGCATCCGGCCTTGTAGCGGAGGGCTCTGACCTCACAGTCAACAGCGTGGGCCAGAGGCCAGCACCCAGCGTGCTTGCTGTGACCACAAAAGAGAGCCTTCCTCACTCGTTGCCTTTAGCTTCTTGTTCTTGAAAAACAGCCATAGTAAGAATGATTGTAACAGACAAAGACACTGACACACACAACTGTGCTCAGAGGGCGAAGAGACCAACTTCGGTGCTAAAGCTGCTCCCGCACACTGGTCACTGTGCCAGTTTGAGTACTTCTGAAAAGATGAATCTGATTTCAGGAGGAAAAAACAACAAACGCCGGCCCGACCCAACCCCCCAATCCAGGGAATGAGACTCGGAGCTGGAGAGAAGCCTCGTCTGAAGAGGCCTTTGTTTACAAGGGCAAAGCCCCAAGGTGACAGTGACACTCGTCACACCGTAGTGTCAAAGCACGCCAGTCCGGGCTGGTCCACAGCCTGCCGAACAAGCGGAGCAATTGCTGTTAGACAGCAGCACAGCACACAGAGAGGATAATGACCCAGCAACCTGGATGTTATAACCCAAATCAAAGATGGCGCTTCCCTTAGAAAGACAAAATGGAAAACAAAAAGTTTAAAATAAACTTTTAGAATTGCATTTTCTGCCTCGATTCCAGGAGACACACAAATAATGATACAAATAACAAGATAAGCTTATTATGTAAGATCTATTTCCACTCAAACCTCAGTTTAGAATTTCAATGTTTTCTTGTACTTGAGAAAGTATTAGTTGCTCTGGATTAGTTTTTTGTTTTTTTTT